TCTCTCTCTCTAAAATGGCTGCCCCACCCTTGCATCAGAAACGTATTCATGGCAGAAATAGGCAGGGTGATGGTGGTGACCCACTTGTGGACGCTCACTTGTCCCCACTTCTTCGAGGACTTCTTGCCCTACCACCACCAGTCAAAAATACGTTTACCTAGTTTAGCTTCAAATGGATATTTGTTTCGCTTGTGAACTTCAAACTTCAATAATTATAACTTCACATACTTATAAGTAATGTGTATAATACGGAACTAGTTTTTATGCGACTTCATTACAAAACAATGATTCATCTATTTGTAGTTACATTTTTTTTTATTAGTCATTACTTATTGTTGATTTTGTTTTTATTATATTGCACGTTAGACGTATCTATTTAGACTTCTGGAGATGAATCCTTAGGTCACTTGATATTAACTAGCTACCTGAGTCCATAGTTTTTTTTTATTGCCCTTGTAGGCAGACGAGCATACGGCCCACCTGATGGTGAGTGGTTACCGTCGCCCATGGACTTCAGCAATGCCAGGGGCAGAGCCAAGCCGCTGCCTACCGCTTAATATCACAATGAATGCCATCTTTCAACTCTCTAGTGTTTTATATAGCAGCTATCACACCCTTCATCTTAGAACGTATGGCTGCTTTATGACAAGATGATTGGTTGTAATGATGCGGGCTTATACTATGCCCCACTACTTTATCGTGTTGTTGTGCTTATTGGGTCTGGTTACAAAATAAATGAATTAACATTAAATAGGCTGTCGTATTTCTATCTACGTAAATAAACAAAGCAAGTGATTGTATAAATTTGCTTTTTTTTATTGCTTAGATGGGTTGACGAGCTCATAGCCAACCTGGTGTTAAGTGATTACTGGAGCCCATAGACATCTACAACATAAATACGCCACCCACCTAGAGATATAAGTTCTAAGGTGTCAGTATAGTTACAACGGCTGCCCCACCCTTGAACCGAAACGCATTACTACTTCACGGCAGAAATAGGCAGGGCAGTGGTACCTACCGCGGTTTTTTTTTGGATCGAAGTTCCTTTTGTGACGATGCGGAGGTACCCTAANGATTACTGGAGCCCATAGACATCTACAACATAAATACGCCACCCACCTAGAGATATAAGTTCTAAGGTGTCAGTATAGTTACAACGGCTGCCCCACCCTTGAACCGAAACGCATTACTACTTCACGGCAGAAATAGGCAGGGCAGTGGTACCTACCGCGGTTTTTTTTTGGATCGAAGTTCCTTTTGTGACGATGCGGAGGTACCCTAACCGGGAAAAAACGTCCGTAACGTAAGATTCTTATTAGTAATGCACACAGTGTACGAATTAACTTTGTAATAACGTACAAAAAATAACATATTTTTTTATCATTAATTGACCACGATCTCAGAGCGATCGTTTGCGCAATACACTAACTCTTATACAAACAACTGTGAATGAAGTGTACCAGAATAAGTTCGCACGTTACCGAATCACCGTGGGTTGTTGCGAAACCTCAAGTTTTATTTTCTTTATACATCGAATACAACTTAAAATTAATATTTTATTAATAAGGAACTTAGTTCCTATCTGTGTCCCACGACACCACACATCTATTTTTCCTACCTAGCTGAGAGCCCTGAGAGGCTATTTCAACGTAACCTTAACTAGTAGGTGAGTTCGCGGGGCTCAAACCTGACGACGTTGCTAGCACGAACCCTGGCAAAAGCCGTGCTTCGCAGAATCTGCCACCAGATCGGAAACGCGATCCACTGAGAGATCCGGCGAGAAACTCAGTGGGCTGTGTTTGAGGGTTAATTTACTCGTCGAGCCCTTCGTCGTAAGCAACCCGTTCGACGAGAACGATGACCGGTGCTAGAGGTACTTAAAAGCACCGTTAGTGGATCGGAAGGATCCGAAATGACGTGTTTGGGGCGACGTCGACTGCTTTGCATTCTGTCCGCAGGATCGGGAATGTAGTTACCGGCGGCCACGATGAGAGGGTTCTCGTGTCGTGTCGCTTTATCGAAGTGGGGGGCGGACTCACAAGAGATCCTACCACCAGTAATTACGTAAATTATAATTTTGCGGGTTTGATTTTTATTACACGATGTTATTCCTTCACCGTGGAAGTCAATCGTGAACATTTGTTGAGTACGTATTTTATTAAAAAAAATGATAACCACCTGGGATTCGAACACCGGTGCATCGCTCAACACGAATACACCGGACGTCTTATCCTTTAGGCCACGACGACTACGTAAATAAACAAAGCAGGTGAATGTATAAATCTGCTTTTTTTATCATATTTTTTATCTCATTACATCCGTTAAGTTTCATGGTGACGCACAACAATGGAACCTTTACCATTATTAATATTGACCAGAAAAAACCGGTTTTCGTTAAATTTAACCAACCGAGTACTCCCAAATGATTCAGTCATATAAAAGCAAACGGTTAGAGCACTTCTTAAACTTGAAATGCTCATACAAGATATATAAAACGATGTATCGGTAAATATTCAATAATATAAGTATATAATATGTACCTGTTTGTGCTGATATTCGGTGGACTTTGTCATGAAGAAGCAGAATGTCTATATCCAATCTATTTTAAGTACTCGGAGTTGGTTGTTATCGTACTAAAATTTTGTTGTCATTTCGCCTTGTTAGTCTTGGTCGGCCTATGACCTTTACCGAGGTTATCGCGTTGTTTTGATGTACACGTTTTAAAGTAATGTGTATTCAAATTTAGGGTTATTAAATTTTGTTGGTTTAATAAATAAGATGTTCGAACTAACATCACTACTATTTTTCGTGTAAAATACATTAAACAAAATGGAATATAGGAAAATATCTTTATTAGGTATTGATGATTAAATTTGTTAATTAATGCCATTAATAAATGACTAGCCATTGACTCCATCACGACTTGTCTCTATCGATCATGTTTGATAATACAAAAGACAAAATGCTGTGTAAAACTATCCCTAAGCTACGTCACGTTTATTTAAAAAGCCTTGTAAGTTAACTGTTTCGTTAATCAACAAAGATTTAATTGTGTAATTGAGAGGCATAAAATTAACCGGGACTTATAAATTTATAGTTAATTTTATTTTTAGTCAATCAATTTTATTTTAATTTTTTGTTTTAGTTAAAATAAACAAAAAAGTATTTTCTTGTTTTAAACTAAACAAGTAAACGAACACATAAATTATTATTTATGCCTTTTATTTTTAAATAACGTAAAAATCTAAATCGATTTTAGTGGTAGTAATGCACTCAAGATGGCAAACTTCCTTTTCACTAGAATACCTTGGTATCGAAACGAGAACAATACAAACAAAAGAATCCTCTAGATGTTTGCTAAATGATGAAACCGTGAATGTCAGACAGCCCGACAGCTTGAACAACAAAGGACAAGTGACTCCACTAACAAAAACAATAACAAAATCTTTAAAAATAGTAATGTTTTAAGAAGCTCTTTAAGATACGAATAACTATTTACACCCGGCTACGCGGCTCCACCTGATTGTAATAAACAAAATCAAGATTACTACGAACAGTTAAGACAACCACAACATTGATCTGAAAATGCATATCACCGACCTCATCCTCCACCGCCGCCCCCTCCGCCGCATCATCCCCGTAATCACTATGAAGACAATTAGACCCCCACCTCCACTGACAATTCACATTATTATGATTACAGTTACCATCATCCGCCACCACTTCCGTCTCCTCAAGGATATTACGACAATCACAACCATTGTAAAGTGTTAGTCTTATTTAAAAACATGTTAGAAAAGAGTCCTCAGCGTTAGGCAGAAGGTTCCTTGTGCTCCTATCTCATCATCTGCCTTCGACGGCAATACAAAAGAGATGATATGTTTTATTTTAAAAACATTACCCCTATAGGTAGTACGGCGAGTCGAAAACAAGCATGTACCACCATAATGCGTAGCTCTGCCGCCAAGAAGTCATACGTTCCGGCTGGAAATATGGGACAATCATTATGAAATGCAATCCAGACTTCAATCTCATATATCAAATTCGGTGGTGGCAATCATATTGTGAAAACTAAAGGCTTCAATAGCCTCTTAACACTAGGTCATTCATGAGTGAAGAAAGAAATAAAACAATAAAATCGGTATAGTTTGCACGAATTTTTTTAGGTAATACGTATGTATGTCATTTATTAGTGGGATAGACAGCTTATACATAGACCACTTACTTAAATTATTGATATAGTTCATATCTTTTATGATCATCAATTAGCCATTAAAATGCCACCTCCTCAGCTTGGACCCCACCCAGGCTCCACACAACGACAGGTTCCAGTTTCGTTGTAAATTTTTATAACTCTCCGATATTGAAGCAAAAAATGTAATAAATCAAATAATTAGGAAACAGCTATAAACACAAAATCAATCAAGGTCTGTCGAATAGTTTTGTACGTGAAGCTCACACCAATAAAGAAAACAACAAATAAACGTTTAAAATCCGTATTCGTACCCAAAGGGACATTTTATCGCGTTCGCAATTTTTTTTGTATTTTTTTTCGATACAAATTACATGAACACTTTTATTCTATTCCATTTTATAAAAATATACATAAATACAAAAGAAAAATTGACAAATAGTGTACTTGGTCTTAAACTTACTAACTCTTAATTTATTACTTAATTTTTTTTTTTTTTATATAAATAAATAAATATTTTACTAACAATCACGCCATGTTAACTGGTCCCGTGCTAAGTTCGTAAAGAACTTGTGTTACAGGTACCAGATAACGGATATAAATCTAAGATTTTTATTATACACATACATATATTTAATAGACATCCATAACCCTGGAAAAGACATTTATATTTATCATACAAATATCTTCCCTTGGCGGGATTCAAACCCGCGACCCCCCCCCTGTAGTGACCATGTCACTTACCACTACACCAGACGGCCATGAATTTGTTTCCAAAATAAATAGACAAAACATTTATTGAAATACATTTAATTTTGTTTTAATCATTAAATCGAAATTTTACATAAGACAACACCGGAACGAAATAAAACGAAATTACAAGACAAAAAATTTAACTGCTTGGGTCTCAAAAGGTAGGTTTACATCTGCCATCAGCAGTTCTCTTAAAGCCTGTAGCACAGCCTCCTACAAAATTTTCTCTTCCTTCCTTTTCTGTTGTTGTTTTGCCTGCTGATGTTGGAGTAGGCACGATAGTGGGCTGGGTAACAAATTCCACTACGCCACGTTGCACTGAACCAGACACACCACTTTCAGTTGGATAAACTGGTCGATTCACGGCATTATTGTAGTTATATTGGTCGTTATCATCGTCTCGGAAAATCAATCTATCCGATAAATCTTGTTCAGCTTGGCTAATTCCTCGTCGGAGATTATTGACGAAACCGTTTACTCCAGCATTGACCGGACCAGCGTCATTCAATATTAAAACGGCACAACACAAAATAAAAACGGAACACTTCATGGTTGAAATTTACAAGCTGCCGTTCACTTAACTCGTCAAAATATTTCCTTTTACTGATACTTTAGTGGTCTCGACACGTAGATAACTTCAAGACCTTTGTAGTTTATCAGAAGTTTTAAATTGTGTTTCATTCCAAGAAATGATAAAGCGTCGATTACGTCAAGTTAGTTATGCTTAATGTTTTTGCATATTAATCGAAGAGGAAAACGGTACATTTGATAATACGCGTTTTATGTTTTGATTGTAACCTGAAAAATAAATTATTTTAAAAATAAGCGAGACTAATCTCTACATTACACAATGTTCACATTAATAGTGGTTAGAATATTAACTCAATTAGTTTTTTTTTTTCTGTATGTAACAAAACCATTTTGCTTTTAAATGAGTATCATAGCTTTCGTATACAATATTTAATTGTTGTTGTACGGGAGACAAGGTTTATTAATGAAACATTTAGAAATGAAAGTATTTAAATTATTATCATACATACTTCTAGAATCGTTGTCTACAATTTCCTAATGCATCACGTCTTTGTCCCAGCGGACACTCTAACTCCGGAACCCTTATAACTTGTCCAGTTTGTACTTTTTCGGTAGTGGTCGAAGTTGCAAACCAAAGTTTTTCGCGGAAATTAAACACTACATTGCCTTGAGAACTAACACTCGCCAACGTTATAGTCAATAAAATCACAAATTTCGCGTCCATTTTAATGTAATGTGCTGAGCAGACTACGCCACGCTTGTGTTTATGCCTATGTTGCATATATCACCATGGTCGTCTGCAAACACCACTTTTATCCAAATAAGTGCCTTGCTCTTGGCATCCCGCTGTGTTCGGAGGTACTTCAATCATGCTAGTGTCATCCGAAGGACCGTCTTCATCCTTTTTGGTAGCGGTATTTGCTATTGTTTCGCTTTTGGTGCTATTATACAAAGAAGGTTGGGCGAAAGAGTTTTTAAAATCTCGGACGGGATTGCCGAATATTTGAAGAATATCCTGGATCGAAATAGGCGCTCCAGAAACACAAATAAATAAGCTTAAGACTACACTGAGCACAACTACGCTTCGGAACACAGATATCATTTTAATATTGAACAGACGTTCTCAAACTCAGAAACGATTTGTTTATCACTGACTGATTGGCACACACTCATCGGAAATATCAAATATTTAACAGTTATATGTTTAAGTGTATAATATTTAAACGATACTGGCAACAGAACTATGGACCTTGATATCCCAAAAAATATAGATTAGAATTATTAGAATCGTATGACGCAGTGTTATATAAGCTTTGCGTAAACTTGCTAAATTGATCATTGCCGAATGACATTGTAAAATGGGTATTGAGAAGTATGCTTATTGAGTGATAGCACAGATGTTAATGGATTGAATAGTCCACATTCATGCAAGTATCGCCCGTCAAGTGGTCAATTGTGTAAAAAGCCTCATACTATTGCTATTCTTCACCAATAAAAAACCGGGTTTGGTACACGCTAAATTTAGTACTAACATTTTGTGACTTAAAACAAGAACAAGGAAAGTACTTTGAAGAAATTACACAATTTAACTTTTTTTACAATTCAAAGTGCAAAGTTTTTTACATTTAAATCAAGGACAAATGGTAGAATTGGAGTCTAACGTCAGAGAGTACATTTAGATTTTACAAAATCACTATCAATCCTGTAACAGAAATACTTACCAATACCTACTAATATTACTAACTTAGTGGTAAATGTTTAGGAGTAACCGCATTTTGAAGTGTATATAGCAAAAAGATTAAGACGACGATATAAGATTGGAAGTCGTCGTGGCCTAACGGATAAGACGTCCGGTGCATTCGTGTTGAAACGATGCACCGGTGTTGGAATCCCGCAGGCGGGTACCAATTTTTCTAATGAAATACGTACTCAACAAATGTTCAGGATTAACTTCCACGGTGAAGGAATAACATCGTGTAATAAAAATGAAACCCGCAAAATTATAATTTGCGTAATTACTGGTGGTAGGACCTCTTGTGAGTCCGCGCGGGTGTGTACCACCACCCCGCCTATTTCCGCCGTGAAGCAGTAATGCGTTTCGGTTCGAAGGGTGGGGTAGCCGTTGTAACTATACTGAGACCTTAGAACTTATATCTCGAGGTGGGTGGCGCATTTACGTTGTAGATGTCTATGGGCTCCAGTAACCACGTAACATCAGGTGGACTGTGAGCTCGTCCATCCTCCTAAGCAATAAAAAAAAAAAAAAAACCGAAGTTCAAGCCCCGTAGCAATGGGTAGGCATACAAATCTGGGTATTCTCTCTCCTTTAATTGTTACTATCTTCATCGATATAACAATCCATCATCCAATCCCTTCAGCTTTCATATGCCGCATACAATATGTAAACGCATGGCTAATTAAGAATAAGTAAAATACTAAGTAATTACCACCAGTAAAGTATTACGAAATACTTTACTGGTGGTAGGACCTCTACTGGTGATAGAACCTTTACTGGTGGTAGGACCTCTTGTGAGTCCGCACGGGTAGGTACCACCACCCCGCCTATTTCTGCCGTGAAGCAGTACTGCGTTTTGATTTGAAGGGTGAGGCTGCTGTTGTAACTATACTAAGATCTTGGAACTTATATCTCAAGATGAGTGGCGCATTTACGTTGTAGATGTCTATAGAGCAGTAGATGTCTATGGAGCTACTGGAGCAGTAACCACTTAAAACCAGGTGGGCTGTGACCTCGTCCACCCATCTAAGCAATATAAAAAAAGAAAACTTCATAAATGAAGGTTGTTGGATTGTCGGGTCGCTATCAGCTTCGCGCCTGATTTAGAATTGTGGCACATTTGAGCAAAGTCAAAGCATGAACTTTGCTAAAGCGCTTACAGGCTTTTGAGATAAACACAGTTCACTAAGCGAAATTATGAATAAATTGGTTCAGCATTGCTTAGTTTGAAAATATTAAATTATGAAAATACAGAAAAACATGCCTAATTAATTCCTAAACAGCATGATAGGAGGATATGCTCCACCGATCGCACAAAATATGGTATAAGAACAACATTATGAATATTATTTCAAAACATAGAGTTGTTTATTTCTGTACAAAAATATCTCAATTGTTCGTTATTATACAGGGCTCTTTTTTTTTTTAAAATTACTTCATTATATAAGCAACAATGCAACACATAAAAATAATAAAATAAAGTTAAAAATAACGCTGTTCAATTTCAATTTAAACCTTTATTTCAACTATATAAAATAGACACAAACTCATTTAAGGATAACAATACAATTTATTGCAATTTCAACGAGTAATACTTATTTAAATCAAGTATATCTTAAACCTTCGATTTAATTAGGTATAAAATTTTTAAATAAAAAGCAAGTGAAAATACACATTATCGTTTTAATTTCAAACAAATTTTAATATGCTTTGATGTTGACCATAAAGAATGGCATAAATACAGATACATTATTTTGCGGGCGGCGTTGGAATTTTGTGATTAAATTTGCCATGAAAATATTTTAATTACATACATCCAACGGTAATTTAGGACTTTTCATAGTGCATAAAAATTACACATACCTTACATGTATCTATACATTAAAAGGGTGGAGTAACAGTCTAGCTAGTGAATTGATAATTACTAAAAACTTCACCAAAAGTCCACCTTATAAGGAATTGAAACTTTAACATAATTGTGAAATTGATTGTTATTTTGCACATGCCTATCCAAATCTAGTTATTTGTTGAATTATTTATAGTCAATTTATATTAAGTTTAAAATAAGGAACAGTACATAGTGTTGCTAAATTTTCTTTAGTTACACGGCTTGCTTTTATGTTTTTTCGCTTTCTTTTCCTGAAAATAATAAGTTTCCAAATTATTGTACATTGTATACAACAGCTTTGTCTCGGTGTTTATATTTTACGTCTATTACAAACTCTATGCTCAGAAACTAAATATTTATAACATGTGCAAAGTGATTCAAACAGTCCGTCATTATTGCTCATTAGAGCCGCAATCGAAGTTCTCTCCAAGAAACTCAACGCAAAAGATCATTAATACGCTTCGATCAATAATAGTTAATACGCTTTTTATTAGCTTCAGACGTAGGTATGTATGATTGTAACGGAATCTTTGAACATGATTTTGACCCCCTTCAAAACGTCGAATTAACTCGAAACTTGATATACTTATTAAGGACCGATAACAATTTAATATTAAAAAAGAATTGAAAAAATTGAAATACAACTAAAAAATTAAAAATAAAGAATAGTTTAAAAAAAATTAACAAAATACGCTTTTATAGAAAATCTTTTAAAATATTTTTCAAACAAATTGAAGTGTTATACTGCTAGATAAACCCAATTTTCGAGTAAATTAAAATATCCCATTCAGGCCTTTTTTGCGAAGTAAGTAATGTAAGTGTTTCAACTTAATAATCAAGTTTCGCTGATCGAACTTCAGCGGGTTATGAAGAAAACTACAATCACTTTCAATTTATCAAATTACTGTCAAATTGCAAAAAGAGAAGTAAAGGTATCATAGATATTTGTATCACTTACAGAACCACAATCTGAGCCGCCATCATTAGAGTCATCATGTTGTGAGCTTTTCTGTAATAAAGAAAACTATTTTACTGGTGGTAGGACCTCCTGTGAATCCACGCGGGTGGGTACCACCACCCTGCCTATTTCTGCCGTGAAGCAGTAATGCGTTTCGGTTTGAAGGGTGGGGCAGCCGTTGTAACTATACTGAGACCTTAGAACTTGTATCTCAAGGTGGGTGGCGCATTTACGTTGTGGACGTCTATGGGCTCCAGTAACCACTTAACACCAGGTGGGATGTGACCTCGTCCACCCATCTAAGCAATAAAAAAAATAAAAAACTATGTATTGAAAAGCCAGTTCCATAATTTTCAATTTCCGGAAACGAGAAAGAATTTAAACAAAAACAATGGATTAATGAAAAAAGTTACTAAAAAAGCATGTATAATCTGTAAGTTAATATAATCTGTATAATCTGTAAAGTATATTCTGTAAGTTTCTAAAACTATTGTTATGATTTTCAAAAAAGATGAGTAGACTGAGCAATATTGTTCAGTTGCAGTGATGTCCATAAGGGACCACTTTTTATGTGCCTATATATAGATACTACAATCACTTTCAATTTAACAAATTACTATCAAATTGCAAAAAGAGAAGTAAAGGTATCACAAATATTTGTATCACTTACAGAACCACAATCTGAGCCGCCATCATTAGAGTCATCATGTTGTGAGCTTTTCTGTAATAAAGAAAACTATTTGAAAAGCCAATTCCATAATTTTCAATTTCCGGAAACGAGAAAGAATTTGAACAAAAACAATGGATTAATGAAAAAAATTACTAAAAAAGCATGTATAATCTGTAAATTAATATAATCTGTATAATCTGTAAAGTATAATCTGTAAGTTTCTAAAACTATTGTTATGATTTTCAAAAAAGATGAGCAAACTGAGCAATGTTGTTCTGCGATAAAATTCCTTTACTCTGCCCTGCATTTGTCTTGAATCTGGGTTCACAAACATTCTTATGTAGTACCTAACCCAGTTCACTAATTACATAAGAACTGTACACGTAAAACATTAATAATTAAATAATACAACTAGGCCTTTAATATTGATTTATTTTTCTACATAATCATTTGCAGACGCGCACATAGATTGTTTTTACGCTACCATGCGTAAGAGGTGTGCATCTCTGGTAAACAGAGTGAGGGCCAGCTCCAACAGTCTCCTGAGCATGATCACAAGCAGGCTGGACTGTATATACATGGGTCGCTGTGGTGCCATCTCCCATGGGATGTTACCACAGTAATTCATTGTGATGTAAATATAACTACTAACATAGGTCTAAGTCTTATTAACAATTTATATGAGTCATGGATACTTGAAATAAAATCATTATTATTATTATTATTATTTGGCACAAAATTGAACCGTTTAGTGAATTACATTTATAATATGTATTTTTTGGTCATTAAATACGATTCAGTTAACTCGTTTATCGATCCTAAATCTTGAATCCAACCTAATTAGATGTACTTAAATAAATCTGTCAATGTATGTAATATTTCGATCACAAATTACTTTTTTGGCTGTGCCCATTTTATTTATCAGCGCGCTATAAAATTATTGCTAAAACCAATAAATGGAATTTTATTGTAAGAAGTTACATTGTAAGAAGTTGTTCGGTTGCAGTGATTTCCATAAGGGACCACTTTTTATGTGCCTATATGTTGATCATAATAAGTCACCCAGCCACTTCAATAGTCATTACACCAATAAACATGTATTTCTGTAAGTTATAAACTGTGAGCGTTCAAGAAATGGAAACACTGATACTCAGTCCAGAAATTGTGACATTTTATACAAGAGACGTTGCAAAAACACCTGTGCCATGACCGCCGATGTAATTAGTTATTGATTCAAGAGATTAGAAAAAAATATGATTTTCAAAAACGCTTACCGGATCAGAATCGCATCCTGAGTCTTGGGATTTTATTCTGTAAAATAAAAGAGTCACATTATAAAAATATTAAAATTAATTTTTAATGAAAACTAATATTATATAAACAGAAGAATATGTTCGTCATTACATCTGCGCTTCCACAATGGCTAAGCCAAATCAGATGTATTTTTAGTTAGATATTGAGAAAAACCAGGTCTAATACATATTTAGTATTAATTTTATTTATCTACCAAGATATACCAATTACAAAAAATTATATACAGTAATCCCCCTTATAACACGGTACTGTTATAACGCATTTTCCACACAGGATTCCACAAGTTATATTTCTGTACTGTAAACTGTATAACAATTTGTACACTTCATAATCAATTTCGCGTGCCTTTGCACATTGTGTCAATTATGTTGTTTCTCAAAATTACATGAATTTATGAAATTTGTCTTCCCAGTTTTTTAATTGTAAAAACATTTGTTAGGTATATTGTTTTATATTATTTTGTGTAATATATATCATATTTGTACATACCGCGTTATATGGGGTCATACAAGCGTCATACAAGCGCGTTATGCGAGTATGTTCCCACAACGCGTTTCCTATAACGCGATACTAAACTACCGTGTTATAGGATAGATTACTGTATTAGTGGTAGGATGCGTTAATGGTCCAGTTTCATGCATGTGAAATCGCCGCTAATCTGTAGTAAAAGCTTTTTTTTTTTTTTTTTTTTTTTTTTTTTTTTTTTTTTTTTTTTTTTTTTTTTTTTTTTTTTTTTTTTTTTTTTTTTTTTTTTTTTTTTTTTTTTTTTTTTTTTTTTTTTTTTTTTTTTTTTTTTTTNTTTCCGGAAACGAGAAAGAATTTAAACAAAAACAATGGATTAATGAAAAAAGTTACTAAAAAGCATGTATAATCTGTAAGTTAATATAATCTGTATAATCTGTAAGTTTCTAAAACTATTGTTATGATTTTCAAAAAAGATGAGCAGACTGAGCAATATTGTTCAGTTGCAGTGATGTCCATAAGGGAGCACTTTTTATGTGCCTATATGTAGATACTACAATCACTTTCAATTTATCAAATTACTATCAAATTGCAAAAAGAGAAGTAAAGGTATCATAGATATTTGTATCACTTACAGAGCCACCATCTGAGCCGCCATCATTAGAGTCATCATGTTGTGAGCTTTTCTGTAATAAAGAAAACTATTTGAAAAGCCAATTCAATAATTTTCAATTTCCGGAAACGAGAAAGAATTTGAACAAAAACAATGGATTAATGAAAAAAATTACTAAAAAAGCATGTACAGTCTGTAAGTTAATATAATCTGTATAATCTGTAAATTAATATAATCTGTATAATCTGTAAATTAATATAATCTGTATAATCTGTAAAGTATAATCTGTAAGTTTCTAAAACTATTGTTATGATTTTCAAAAAAGATGAGCAAACTGAGCAATATTGTTCTGCGATAAAATTCCTTCACTCTGCCCTGCATTTGTCTTGAATCTGGGTTCACAAACATTCTTATGTAGTACCTAACCCAGTTCACTAATTACATAAGAACTGTACACGTAAAACATTAATAATTAAATAATACAACTAGGCCTTTAATATTGATTTATTTTTCTACATAATCATTTGGCACAAAATTGAACCTTTTAGTGAATTACATTTATAATATGTATTTTTTGGTCATTAAATACGATTCAGTTAACTCGTTTATCGATCCTAAATCTTGAATCCAACCTAATTAGATGTACTTAAATAAATATGTCAATGTATGTAATATTTCGATCACAAATTACTTTTTTGGCTGTGCCCATTTTGTTTATCAGCGCGCTATAAAATTATTGCTAAAACATTTATTGGATTTTAATTGTAAGAAGTTGCATTGTAAGAAGTTGTTCGGTTGCAGTGATGTCCATAAAGGACCACTTTTTATGTGCCTATATGTAGATCATAATAAGTCACCCAGCCACTTCAATAGTCATTACACCAATAAACATGTATTTCTGTAAGTTATAAACTGTGAGCGTTCAAGAAATGGAAACACTGATACTCAGTCCAGAAATTGTGACATTTTATTCAAGAGACGTTGCAAAAACACCTGTTCCATGACCGCCGATGTAATTAGTTATTGATTCAAAAGATTAGAAAAAAATATGATTTTCAAAAACGCTTACCGGATCAGAATCGCATCCTGAGTCTTGGGATTTTATTCTGTAAAATAAAAGAGTCACATTATAAAAATGTTAAAATTAATTTTTAATGAAAGCTAATATTATATAAACAGAAGAATATGTTCGTCATTACATCTGCGCTTCCACAATGGCTAAGCCAAATCAGATGTATTTTTAGTTAGATATCGAGAAAAACCAGGTCTAGTACATATTTAGTATTAATTTTATTTATCTATTAAGATATACCAATTACCAAAACTATATACAGTAATCCCCCTTATAACACGGTACTGATATAACGCATTTTTATATTGTGCAATTTCAGTTCCTCGTATAACACGGGTATTCCCCCCCTATAACACGGGGATTCCACAAGTTATAATATTTCTATACTGTGAAATGTATAACAATTTGTACACTTTATATTTATAATCAATTTCGCGTGCATTTGCACATTGTGTCAATTATGTTGTTTCTCAAAATTACATGAATTTATGAAATTTGTCTTCCCAGTTTTTTAATTGTAAAAACATTGGTTAGGTATATTGTTTTATATTATTTTGTGTAATATATATCATATTTGTACATACCGCGTTATATGGGGTCATACAAGCGTCATACAAGCGCGTTATGCGAGTATGTTCCCACAACGCGTTTCCTATAACGCGATACTAAACTACCGTGTTATAGTATAGATTACTGTATTAGTGGTAGGATGCGTTAATGGTTCAGTTTCATGCATGTGAAATCACCGCTAATCTGTAGTAAAAGCTGCTGGAATGTGTAGGTTGAAAATTTGGGTAAAATACTCACTGTTTTAAACATGGGCTGCTTTCTATTACGACGACCACTGCAGCGAGTATAAGGCAGATCACAAGAACTTTATTCATTTTGCTCCAAGTTTTTCTAAAAGAAAACGCACCTACATCAATAATTTACATATTTAATTGTAATATCTGTAAGCATTTCTCCAAAGATATTTGGTATTTGAATGTACACGTTCCTGTCTCGTGTGTTAGACCAATTATCGCAATTGTTCTTCGATAAATGAACAGACTATGCCACAGAAACCATATAATTACATACAATGCTAACCTGATTTGGGACACTAATAGTTAAAAAACAAGTTGACAAACTAGAGCCGGCATATCAAAGAATCGAATAGATAAATATTATAAAGTAGTAAATAGCAGTCAGGATAATATAAATCGGTCTCGAACGGAGACGTAAAATGTCAACACTGTAGATAAAAAATCTACATTTTCAGCAAAGGCTAGATTTTTGGAGATAAATATGTCTCTTGTGACTAAGCAGTAATAAATACTGACATTGACACTTAGGTGGAGGTGTGAAAAAACATAAAAAACTGATGAGTCACCGATAAAGGACTAAAAAAGTACATATTCATAAAAAATAAAATTTATAGTAAACTTGATCACTCAAACTACTCTTAGATTTTATTTATTTATTTATTTTTTATTGCCCTTATAGGCAGACAAGCACACGGCCCACCTGATGGTGAGTATTTACCGTAGCCCTTGGACTTCAGCAATACCAGGGGCAGAGCCAGGCCGCTGGCTACCGCTTAATACTCTCTACAAGCCTCGTTTGAAGAAGGACATGTCATAGCGCTGGGCGGTGCGATGGTAAAAACGAGATGATGGTAAGTATCATCTCAAACAATTCCTCAAAGCACTCCCCATGGAACATACAGTGGGAACCAAAGTCCCTCCGCAGAGCCAGAGATTCCGAACGATCCGTGAGAATGAGAGATTGAATACGTGAGTTTAAATTCAGCGGTAGCAAAACCTTGTGGATAATAATATAGAGTTCGTAAATGTAACTAATATAGACACAATCAATAAGTATTGTAAAAGCTACGGACCTCCCGGGATACTCTGGTATCAGAGACTACATCCGTCAAATAAGCATGTCTGATGACCCAGCTATTGTTTGAAGGTAGCGATTATCCCCGTTATTTTGTTTAAAAAAAAGTATAAAAGATTTGTGGTAAGTTCACAATCTATGTATCGCATACTTTATGATTGCGATGCATACAATTAAACTGGACACGTCACTTATTCGCTATCCGAATAAAAATATCTGTCTATAAGGTCCTATTCTCAACACTGTCACGAAATTCATAAGAGTGGTATAGGGAATGAAGGGTATAGACCACGATATTGACACGAAGGATTCTACATCATGCACCTACCGACCCGCTTAAAGAATTAATACGGAAGCTGAAAACTCCAATACAACTCCAAAACAGTACAACTTTATATTCCCGATTAAGTGTATACAAATATACAGATGGCGATGCTTATATTGTACTGTTTAGCAATACCGTCTTTACCATAAGGGCACACGGAGCCCGTGCCCAGGGCCCCCATTCTCAGGGGGCCCCGAAAAACTGACAATTTCTCTCACACGTTTATTCTCAAAACCTTTTTGTCGGGCACATTACACTTTTATCACAGATCAGTAATCAAAAGGTATTTACAAGGCATATACTATGCCTATAATAGAAGATTTTGCTCACCAGAAATCCCGAAAGAAACCGTTATCGAAATCGTAACCAAAAAACCAGCAACATTCTTATATCATTAATGACATATTATAATATCATACTGTATTTGATTACCTATAACAAATGGTCTCATACTCAGTAAAAAAATGTTGTTATAATTCGCTTTTTTTACTTTCCAAAAGGGCCTCAAATTCTTGTGTGCCCAAGGGCCCCATCCTAGTTTAAGACGTCCCTGCTGTTTAGGTAATCACAATAATAGCATAAGGGCCGTAAGCATGTCTGCCCACAAATATACCACACATATTCAATATTAAATAACACTTCAGAATGGTAGAAATAGATTACGAATAACTTACCAAGCTGCTTGACAAAGTTTTTTAAGTCTTGGGTTTTTAAGGCTTGTTGTTATATATTGGAACACATTGAAGCTCCGTTAGTATATATATACTATTTTATAGCTAGGTATGCTAATTAAAATAATTTCACGCATGATCAAAAATAAACCAGATAATTGCCATGAAAAATGAACATTAATTTATTAATTACTATTAAATATTTATATTTGTAGAATTCATAAAGCAAATACAGCTGTGACGAGCTCGGAAAATTCAAATGAGATTAAAATAGTGACTTTGTAAATAAACAAATTATATTTACGTGAAATAGAGGGCACTTGTAGATTAAAGGAGTTTTTATTTTCATGCTGATTGCTCAGTAATTTGTGTTTATGAGCGTCGGCAGCCTGTAGCTGATAGTTAGCTGGTAATGTTCTACAATCAGATATATTTTTTTAATAATGAGATACACCTCTTGTGAGTCCGCACGGGTAGGTACCACCGCCCTGCCTATTTCTGCCGTGAAGCAGTAATGCATTTTGGTTTCAAGGGTGGGGCAGCCGTTGTAACTATATTATGAACTAGCGACCCGCCCTCGCTTCGCTTCGGAAACATTAAAACACACATGAAACCAAAAAATAAAAATTTTAAAAAAATTAAAAAAAGTAGCCTATGTTCATCAGAGACAATGTCGGCTTCTAATGGAAAAATAATTTTTCAAATCGGTCCAGTAGTTTCGGAGCCTATTCGAAACAAACAAACAAATCTTTCCTCTTTATAATATTAGTATAGATGAAGAAACTGTCAGGAATAACACAAGTAACCCTCAGAGTTAAAGATTCGATTATGGGCTGCGAGTAGCTATAGCGGTTTGAACCGACTGCAATAGAATGATTGTGGCGGCTATTGCTCGGTAGACTCACGGCCTACCCAGTATTAAATGATAACGGTGCACCATAATTGCTTTGTATTATACGATGTTATTCCTTCATCGTAAAAGTTGTTCTTGAACGTCGTGAGTAAAGTATGTAAATATGTACATATTTGTTGTATTCTTAAACAAACTTCGATGAAATGACCACCACGGTATTAACCGACACCCCATTATTTTTGTGCAGACAATTATTTTTTTATGTTACAAAATACACGTTTTTTTTATTTCTTAGGACGGACGAGCTCACGGCCCACCTGATTACCCGGGTCTATTGACATCTACAATGTAAATTTCGCCACCTACCTTGAGATATGAGTTCTAAGGTCCCAGTTTTTACAGTACAACGGCTGCCCCATCCAATGCATTACAGCTTCACGGCAGAAATAGGCAGGGTGGTGGTACCTACCCATGCGGACTCACAAGACGTCCTACCACCAGTAACTACGCAAATTATAATTGTGCGGGTTTGGTTCTAATTTCACAATGTTATTTTTTCACTGTGGAAGTCAATCGTGAACATTGGAGACGTACGTATTTCATGAGAAAAATTGGTACTTGCCTGCGGGATTCGAAAACTGGTGCATCGCAAGATACGAATGCACCGGACGTCTTATCATTTAGGCCACGATGACTTTTGACAGACCCAATATATTTTAAATTAAAAAGAATAATTAAATTATAATATTTTTATTTCATTTTCTAAGCAAGCAAGGTAGGTGTTGATGTAAATTTATTAAAAGCTAAAATTTTAAATTGAAATATGAAATTTCAAAGAGTTATTATTAATAAAACATGTGCTCTATTCTTGATGATAAATTGTAATATTATATATCCAAATTACTAACCACAATTTAGTACTGCAAATCTTTACTTTTTGTATTCAATATAATGGATGCTACAACTATTCTAATACCTTTGTGTAAACTATAAAATTTACTTGAATTAAAACATTATTTTAAAAAGCACCGGAACAAACAACAAAACTCGCTTCTAACTAATTTTGGTTTTAGAATATAGGTCTACATCTCCCGTCAGCTGTTCTTTTAAAGCCTGTAGCACATTCCCCCTTAAAATTATCTCTTCCGTCCTTTTCTGTTGTTGTTTTTCCTGCCGATGCTGGAGTTTTCTGGGTAGCTAATTCCACTCCACCACGTTGCACTGAATCAGAAGAGCCATTGTAGTTATTTTGCTCGTTATCGTCGTCTCGGAATATTAATCTATCCAATACATCTTGACCCGTTGCTTGTGCACTCTTGCTTTTGAATTCACTTGCTCCAGCTGAATTCAATAATAAAACAACACAGCACACAATAAAAACATAACAATTCATGGTTGAAATTTACAAACTCCCACGTCCACTTAACTCCTCTCAATGTTTCCTTTTACTGATTCATTCGTAGTGTCAACACAAAAATAACTTCAAAACATTTAAAGTTTTTCAGAAGTATTAAATCATGTTCCATTCCAGGAAATAATCAAACATCAACTACGTCAAGTTAGTTATGCTTAATGCACAATAATCGATGAGGAAAACAGTATATAAATATACATAACTATATAATAATACTCGTTTTGTGTTTTGATTGAAATTAAATCTGAAAAGTTTTATAGTTTCTAAATTAATGCTGACATATTTTCTTTTGGTTTTTGCGAATCACAGACATAATTAAAACTTATTTTACTCCTTAATCTCGCCTTGTTTACTGACATTTTATTATATTGTTACGCCGGTAAGAGTAACGCCATCTATCGCCGAATAGCTGAAACCAATATCAAAGGATCTAGTAATATCTAGAACGCTCGAGAAGTACAACGCAATCAATGTCGTATCGACTATAAAAGCGTTTTGGAGATGGCAAGCAGCCAGTTCGTAATCGGACCTACTCGAAACAGCGAACGGATCACCTGAAGCTAAGCAGAAGAAGTGAATTGAGAATTTTAAAGTGTTTGTGAAGTGTTTTAAGTGTTATAAGTGAGTCGACTATTATCAAAGCCGGCAATCTGACTTTTGGATAATTATTGGTAAATCAGAAAAACGAATTATTGACTTTGTATTCCATTGGCAGTCACAAAACTCTTCGGAACGACATCTTAGATAAATAACAGGTTAACTATTAACCTTTATTTAATGCAGTTTTTGAACCGTATTCTTTGAAGGAGACGATTATATTCAAATCAATATGTATTGACATATCAATAACATTTTTTTGTCCAAATTCACAGATTGCCACCTTTGATAATAGACAACTCAAGTGCTAACACATTTAAAGTTGTACTTTGGTGGAACATTTATTTATCCCGAACCCCAGCACATAACAATATTATTTCTAACTTGAACTGATGGTAGGACCTCTTGTGAGTCCGCACGGGTAAGTACCACCACCCTGCCTATTTCTGCCGTGAAGCAGTAATACGTTTCGGTTTGAAGGTTAGGGCAGCCGTTGTAACTATATCGGCCCTCTTCCCTGAGCGAGCGGAATACGTTTCCCCGGCGATGGCTTCACCCTCAGCCACAGACTCTCGAGAAGAGGAAAGCACCGATGTCCCCGAGGTGACGCAAGCAGAGATGAGAGCGGCCGTGTCGCGACTCCGGTCTAAGAACACGGCCCCGGGACCCGACGGAGTTCCTGGTCGAGCTCTCGTCCTGGCTCTGAAGGAGCTAGAGCCCCAGCTGAGGGGACTCTTCGCGGCATGTCTCGAGCAGGGTCAGTTTCCTAGTGTATGGAAGGAGGGTAAGCTGGTCCTACTCAGGAAGGAGGGGCGCCCCGCGGACTCGCCGTCCGCGTATCGGCCCATAGTGCTGCTCGATGAGGCGGGCAAACTTTTTGAGCGCATTATCGCAGATCGCCTCGTCAGCCACTTGTGCAGGGAGGGGCCGGACCTGGATGACAACCAATTTGGTTTTCGTCGGGGGCGCTCCACCATAGAAGCCATCATGCGCGTGAGGGCCCTGGCGGAGGAGACGGTGTCCCGGGGTGGGGTGGTACTGGCGGTGTCTTTAGACATCTCCAACGCTTTCAACACCCTACCCTGGAGTTGTATTCGGGAGGCTCTGAAATACCATCGCGTGCCTCCCTACCTCCGCCGCACGGTAGGGGCTTATCTGGAGGGTAGATGCGTCACTTATCGGGGACGTGACGGTGCCGGTCGGCACCTCATGTCGTGCGGTGTTCCACAGGGATCGGTCTTGGGACCGCTCCTGTGGAACATCGGCTACGACTGGGTGCTGAGAGGCGAGCTCCCGTCGGGCGCCAACTTGACGTGTTATGCGGACGACACGCTTGTCACTGCCCGGGGGAGCTCGCACAGGGAAGCGACGTTGATAGCCGCGGCTGCGGTGTCACTGGTGGTGAACCGCATCCGGCGCCTGGGCCTGGAGGTGGCCCTAAACAAGTCGGAGGCTATGGTGTTTCATGGCCCCCGACGTGCGCCGGCGCCGGGATCACACATCGTGGTAAGTGGGACCCGGATAGCTGTCGAGTCCACCATGAAGTATCTGGGATTGGTGCTCGACAGCCGATGGGAATTCGGGCCCCACTTCCGGCGGCTGGTGCCCAAGCTGATGGGTGCAGCGGGCGCGCTTTCAACGTTGCTTCCCAATTTGGGGGGCCCGAGCGCCGCCTGTAGGCGGTTGTACGTGGGAATCGTGCGGTCCATGGCCCTGTATGGGGCCCCTGTGTGGGCGATGGACATGACGGCCAGCACACTCGCCATTCTGCGTAAGCCGCAGAGGGTGATGGCCGTCAGAGTCATCCGCGGGTACCGCACGATTTCCTACGAGGCGGCTTGCGTCCTGGCCGGATCCCCGCCCTGGGACCTAGAGGCGAAAGTACTCGCGTCATTATATCGATGGCGCGAGGAAGAGCGGGCACGGGGCTCGAGGCTGGTGCAGCGGCAGATCGCGCTGCGCCGAGAGGAGCTCCGTCTGGCCTTGGTGGCGGAATGGCGGCAAAGGCTTCTGCGCCCTACCGCCGGCCTCGCAACCGTCGAGGCGATCCGGCCAGTACTCGACGACTGGCTCGGGAGAAGGCACGGATCCCTGTCGTTTAGGGTGACACAGGTGCTGTCGGGGCACGGTTGCTTCGGCAAGTACCTGTGCCGCATAGACAGGGAGCCGGACGCTCGGTGCCACCACTGCGTCCACTGCGGGGAGGACACGGCGCAACACACGCTCGCCGAGTGTGTAGCTTGGGAGGAGCAGCGCCGTGTCCTCACAAATGAAGTAGGAAGCGATCTGTCGCTGCCGGCCGTAGTGCGGAGGATGGTCGGCAGCGCAGAGTCGTGGGACGCGGTGGTGTCCTTCTGCGAGGACGTGATGTCGCAGAAGGAAACTGCAGAACGGGAGAGGGAGATCTCGACTCCCTTTCCCGGCCGCAGAAGGCGCACCGGGCGCAGGACAAGGGCGGACAACGCCCTTTTCCGCCCCCCATGAATGGGTCCAGGGGCGAGGGACTTGGGAAAGCCCTCGCCCCCTATTCGATGGACCTGAGACGGAGGCGCATGCGGGTGTCGGCGCGTGCCTCTGAGGCGATGCACGGAGTAGCTGAACGCCTCACTACTCCGTGCAGGAGACGAGGCCTGGACAGACCGGGCCAGCACTGGTGTGGGGCTGCGGAAGAATTTGGATTCCCGCGGCCCTGCGCGCACGTGTGGGTGGACACCGGGGTGGTTTTAGCCGGTAGGAGTCCGGCACGCCCCTCCGCTTTTCCCCAGCCGGAGGTAGTCCATGACGATTTCCCCCCGAAAAAAAAAAAAAAAAAAAAAGAAAAAAAAGCCGTTGTAACTATACTTGAGACCTTAGAACTTATCTCGAGGTGGGTGGCGCATTTACGTTGTAGATGTCTATGGGCTGCAGTAACCACTTAACACCAGGTTGTAAGCTGTAAGCTCGTCCACCCATCTAAGCAATAAAGAAGTCGTCGTGGCCTAAAGAATAAGACGTCCGGTGCATTCGTATATAGCGATGCAACGGTGTTCGAATCCCGCAGGCGGGTACCAAGTTTTCTAATGAAATACGTACTTAACAATTGTTCACGATTGACTTCCACGGTGAAGGAATAACATCGTGTAATAAAAATCAAACCCGCAAAATTATAATTTGTGTAATTACTGGTGGTAGGACCTCTTGTGAGTCCGCACGGGTAGGTACCACCACCCCACCTATTTCTGCAGTGAAGCAGTAATGCGTTTCGGTTTGAAGGGTGGGGCAGCCGTTGTTAATATACTGAGACCTTAGAACTTATATCTCAAGGTGTGTGGAGCATTTACGTTGTAGATGTCTATGGGTTCCAGTAACCACTTAACACCAGGTGGGCTGTGAGCTCGTCCACATATCTAGGCAATAAAAAAATAAAAAAAGTCATCTATTATTACCACGAAAAGGTAAAGTATTTGAAACGTCGAAAATAATAAGGTAAAATAAGCGTCATCACGGTCTAAACGAAGTCATGGTAGCCTAAAAGAAATGACGCTCGATGTACTCGCATCGAGTAATACGAATAAGCCAATGTTCAAATCCCTCAGACAGACACGAATCGTTCTACGCGCTTAACTCATATTCACGAACGACTTCAATGTCGAAGGAAAAACAAACACAGTGTTATTACACAGTGTTATTAAAAAACAAGTGAAAATTAAAATTATCGTAATTACGATACAATTGAAACACAGATCTCAAGTCTGAAGGTGACTTCGTAACAAGGAGACACTCTACAAAACTTGCATACATACGTTCTGTCATAACCTATGCAAGTGTAGGGCTCGCTCACGCGGCCCGTACACACATTATCTCTCTCCAGGTCATCCAATCCTGTTTCTGCAAGATAGACATCGGAGCCCCGTGGTATGTGAGGAATGTTCATGTTTACAAAAACCTTAAGCTAAAACCGATACGTAAGTATCTTAGGGAAGCGTAAGAACGCTACTTTGAAAAAGCGGCGCCACCCGACAGCACCCTTAGCGTGGCCACTGTTAACTACTTATTCATCCCAGCCGACGCGACGGGGCAAAGCAAATCCGCCATCGCCCAAAACATGTCATGTCAGACCCCCGGATTCACTCTCGGTGCTTTTATGCTCTACTATGATGACTATGATGAAACGACTATGATGAAAAGTTCGACGAGTGAACTAGCCCATAGACACAAGCCACTGAGTTTCTCGCCGGATCTTCTCAGTGGATCGCGATTCCGATCCAGTACTGCTCTTACTAGGGCTAGTGTAAGCAATTCTCTCAAGTTGAGCCCGTGAGCTCACCTAGCCCCTTGGGCTACCAACGATTAGGTAGGAAAGAAAGGTGGATGGCGATATTCATGTCTATGGGTTGCAGTAAACTAACATGACGTGTTTTCCAAATATATATATATGGTCATAAGTAAAAGAAATCTACTTAAGTTATAAAATTAAATGCCAGATAGGATCCGTAAAATGTAGTGTAACCCGAGATCTTACATAGAGATATAAGCCGCAAACACAATGCAACGGTACTACGGCTGTAGTTCAACGAACAGTTAACTAACTACTAAAAAA